CTCTATTAAATAGCTCAGAGCACTTTCAGGGGGATATAAATAACAATAACAGAAATTCTAGTAATATTTTCTCTTTCAATATGCTGACCTAAGCCTAAGCCATGGCCCAAGCTGAAGAGGACAAACAGTGGCACCATCATCTTCTACGACCAAAGAAGAACGTGGGGAAAGGATTTGGGACAGATTCAAGGATATTCATGGCTAGAAATTTGTTTTATTCTAGAAAAGGAATCTGATCAATCAGCACAAAAGTCGGCTGAATCTGTGTTGGAAGATGAGGTTACCCAGACACAAAAATATTGAGAACAAAGAAATATTGTCAAGGAAGACGAGGAAGGCTCCAAGAAATTGAGAATGGCTTATAAAAGGCACTTCGAAGAGAATGAAGGAGACCTGTATGAAAATTTAGCTACAGAAGAGGTCATTAGAAACTTCAGCAATAACATCTTTGAAAAGCATGACATAAGTAATATTAGAGAAAGGTCTTGGTTAGGAGAGAACTCTAACAATTGTAGACAACATATTTAACAGGAAGGAAGAAGAAAATGAGACTACAGTTGAGTTAAATGGAGTCAAGTGTGGGTTATTATAAGAAGGGTAATAGGGAGTCCTAAGACATACTTTACTAAGGCAACAAGAAAAGAGCTAGATTCAAATAAAAAAAATTGAGAAAAATAATTAGCTACTTGATCTTAAGTTGACAGTGAGTACCCATTAACTTATTTCATAGACTGGCTCAGATCAACTAGAAGAAAATATCAGAGATGATGGAAACGGCCTGTTATCTTGCGTTCCAAGTGCAAAAGGAAGAAGAGTCTTTGAACAAGGAAAAGAGGAGAGAGTTGGCTTACTAAAATGCAAAAGCATAATATTTAAAAATGTAAAGATAAGCAAATTAAGAGAGGAATAAAGTAGGATCTGTTCAAGATCACAAGCAGAGGACAGAATTCAGAGTTTGCCTGCCGTTTTCATTTGTCTGTTTTCAATATGCTAGGTCATCCCATTCTGAATATCATCATGAGATTTGTCTATTTTGCTTTGTTGTACTGGGCTGTCATATTTTTCTATTTAGCACTAGCTGAGAACACATTAAAAGAATCACATTTTCTAAAAACTATGTAAATAAATTCTTATGAAAGGTTAATGCTATGTTAATGAAATAACAGTACTGAACCATAATCTTATATTTACATTCATCAATAAAACTAAGAAATATCAGGTATAAAACATTTCTGATATGATAATGTAAAGGTATTATTGAACCAACATTTTAAACACCATGTTTAACAGCTGCTATATAAAAAAAAAAACACTCTAAATCTCAAAAGCTTGTAAACATAACACTCCAAGTGATATCTATAAGTACTGTCAATGCTTACACTTAAAACGGTTGAATGGTTTAAGCAATGCTATTATTCAGATGTGCAAAAAAATAAAGGTTAATATTTGCGTTGAAATGTTATGCCAGATTTAGTCTCTACAACAGGTACTGTACGATACATTAAAACAGGTTAAAAAACTAGAAATTTTTGTAGATTTAGATTTGGAGATATAAAGAAACTGACAAGTCTGATATCGTGATATCCTGCTGTTAACTCCGAGCCACAGGAACAAAAAGCTTCTGGGGAGTCCACATTATAAAAAATTCTTTTGGAGATTTCACATTACAACAATAAAAATACTGGTGAAAAAATTCACTAATAATATAATTATTGGTAAGTTGCTCTAGTTCAATCCTTTTTTCCTCTTTGAAGTATTGAAAAAGTACTGAAAGTATTAAAACCTATTATAGAAGTTATAGTAATTTTTTCCCACTAATTTTAACATAGTGTTATAGTTTACATTCTAAATCCCCCTCCCATTTACTATTTTCAGTGTCTCCGTTACATCTATTACTCAACGGACATTTTCCGTCTGCGGTAACTTTTTTATTATATTTAATCTTGAAACTGAACAGAAAGCAAGGGAAACTTATCACTTAAAAAAAATTGTCACAATTTCTTTGTTATATATTGGTGGTGCGAAGTTCTAAAGGAAAAAGATTTCTTTCTTTGACGTCAGCAGCTCCAGTATGGAAGCATCACAGCAGAATAATGAAACGTCAGAGAGTTAACTCTGAAAAGAAGGGTCTCTGGAAGACTGTTGGAGATGGCTAATTCCTTAGGTACACATAATGGAAACATCTTAGATTCAAGTAAGTACAATCTGTTTTCTTCTTACTTTGTAATGCCAACATGCAAGACAAACACCAAAGCACAAAAACGATTATTTTCCAATGGCAGAAATTCTAAATCACCACTCATTTCTATCAGAAATAAAATTTAGGGCTGAAGTCAAAATTCTTCCATGGTCCAGACTCTTACATACATCACCAATGTCTGAACAGGATTTCAGACATGCCTTCCATCATCAACTAATTCTAAATCCTTTGAAAAATTAAGTTGCTTTAGGGAAATACGCTGTCTAATTTGACCTGCAGCTCAAGATTTGCCCAGTCACCCATGCAAGCTACTCTGGATTTTTGATTGGTAAGGTTTTTTTTTTTCAACTATGCAGCACTGCAACCTCAGTAACCACAATCTTCACACACAGAAACTAAGTTTTTTGTTCATACATTCAGACTTCCAGTCTATCTAGCTGCACAAACTTAGCTATTTTCTCCCACTGCTTTCAAGTTTTGCTATAGTGGCAACCAAGCAAGTTCACAGCTGTACAGTTCGTCAGCGGTATTTTGCAGTTCTGGAGAAACAGAGTATTGAATGTGTGTTATCACTTACTGTTTTTGTCCCATGTTGGAGTGTAATTTCATGAGAATCTGGAATTTTCTTGACAGGGTTCTAGAAAAAAAAAGAAAATCCATCTCCATGAATACAGTACCATAACCAAAAAAACCCCTACCACAATATATATAAAGTTAAGAAATGTTTCCCTCACATCAGCCATAATCTGAGGTTAAGAAATGAGAAAGACATTAAATTCCAATTTTTATTTTCATGGATAGACCCCTAAAAATAAGAGGAATTAAAACAGTTTAAAAAAAGATTATCTTAAAGAACAAGTAAAAGATTTCCTGTTTCTTCTCTTCAGAAAGGTCATTACAATTCTCTCTACTTCTTCATTACCAATACCTATATTGATCCTGAATTGTATAATATGATGGATTGACTAAATCACAATGACTTTTCAAATAAGAGGAATCCATGAAGCTAATGAAGTCATAGGAGTTATCTATATGCTTTATTAAGATCATCGATTGCTGTCCCACTTCCACTTCTGTGATTACCTCCAGCTCTAATGGGGCTTCAAGACTATCACTTCAATTTTAACAAAGTCAGAACAACATAATTCAGTGTATTTCATAGCATATTGAACAGCAAAATACAAATCAAAGGCAATTACAGTTTAAAACAGCTAACACGTCACTGTAACACCTGTATTACAAAAATGAAAATAGCTAGTTTAGACAGAAAGAAATAAAACCTTGGAATCACTGAAGTACTTCTACAAAGGTTACTTGAACCATACTGTCCAAATGCTAAGTTTCCTAAAACAGACACAATCTATCATTTTGATGCCAGACATCTTGGTTATAATCTTCTGTTGCCAAGGTTTGATTTTAAAATAATTTTAAAGCACTCTTCACAATAAAACTTGCATCTCTTTCCTGATTCAACCTGCCCTTTTTTACTCTTGCTACAGAAAATGTCTAAAGGATCAGCCTAATTTCCTGTAAACTCTTGTTTTCTCCTCCAGCTCTATCAGCTTTATTTCCCTGATAAAACTGCAACTTTCACTGTCTTTCATCTAGTCAAACCTACCCTTCTCCTAAGCTTACTCCTGTCACTAACAATGGCTCTGATTCCCAAACCAACTATATAGCCGTTTCCCCCTTTCTCACACATATGAGAGAGGAGCCAACAGAAGAGTCATGCCCACTGTTTTCACATTCACCGCACACACACACACCACACATCAAAGGATGGTCACAGACGCCTGAAAGGAAACTCTGGTGTAAGCATGGAAATCTTGTAGATGCACCTGAGTAACAACATATTCATGAGACTGTGGAACATGGTTAAGTGTGAAAAGATAACAGTAAAGCTTTAGAAATAGCTACACAGGACATTACATTATGAAAGAAAGTCCATATGACATCTCAAGAGCCACTTCCATAGCCCTAGCGGTTTACAAGTTGAGAAATAGGTGCAAGTCAAAACTCCCAAGTAAAGTTTTGATTATGAAATCTAATTTTTTGTTCAATCAACACAATAAAGCACCTAGAGAAAACTACAGTTATATTACAAATGAAGTTGTCCATGACTGATCATTCATTGCACTATAAATCTGTATTTGCTCTTTGGGGATGCCAAGAACTGCTCAATAGCTTTTGACTGTACTTGCCATCTAAGCACATTTTATAAAAATGGAGATAAACATGAAAAGAAAACATACAAATAGTTTCAAAGAGTCATGCTGTTGTCACCCACAACAAAGGATGTACCACTACTGCAAATCAAAGTTTTTCCCCAGGAACTTCTTCCACTGCTGGAAGGAGAAATGGTGTTTGGGTCACTCTTATCTTAATAACTGCAAAGTTGATTATTTTACATTCCAATTCACAAAAGCAGGTTTTATTTATGTTGTACACCTAGATTACGTCAGCACTGAATTTAATTCTTAACTACCTTAAGAATTCTTCCAAAAACTCAACCCCCCCCCCCCAAAAAAACCATGAATACCTAAATTTCAAATAGAACAGATGAGACCACTCTTCCAGTGTCAACAACAGTAAGTGACAAGCTTGACTGTTTTCAGTTAGCTGTTTTACGCTTCTTGGTTAGTTCTAACTTACGTAGTTTAGATTATTTTTACTAACATACTGCAGAATTACTAAAAATAGCACTTAAAAAGTTGAAACAAACACAACGATCATTTTCATACAACTCTTTAGATTAATAAACAAAATGTGCTAGAACAAATTTGTCTAATTTTAACTGCTAGCTCCTTCAGGTGACAATAATTAAATCCCTTTTTTAATGAGAAGAGTGAAAACTCATATAAACACGTATCTGTTGAAAAGTACACTCACGCTGAACACACTTCTGGCTACTTATCTTTAAGTGAGAACAACAGGTATGAATACATTCTGCCACCTGATAAATCAAACAGCCTGAGCCTGAAAGTTGAACATTTGGAGAGCGGTAGCTGTGCAACATTCTGCAGTGTCCAAGGGATTCTTGACGGTTAAAGTAACTGTTTAGACTACTGAAAAAAAAAAAATTAAAGATAACAACCTCCAGCAATAACATCTTGGAATAACATCTTAAAAATCAGCCACACATTTTAAAAAAAAAAAAAGTTTATTCTATTTTAGTAACTCTGAACTTCCTAAATTACAGAGGATACTATAAATATCTCTATCCCGCAACAACATATGCATACACACACACAAAAAAAATCAGATACAACTACTAGTTTTCCAGTTATTGCATTCCAAAGATCAAGGAAAATCACAGAAGCCTTTTTCATGCTCTCAAGGAAAAACGTAGTTAATACATTTTATCTTGATTTGAACATCAGAATCGCCTGCATCTTGAAATATTACAACAAGACTGGCTAACTGAAAAAACAGTTAGACATGCAGGTACGCTTTGGGCAGTGTTCCACCTGCTGCCTGGATTTCACCTGCCAGTTTATGTAACATCGATTTTTATCTTCTTGATAATGCTATTCCGAAAACTTTGTATCACAATTAAAAGAAGGCAATATGAAACCTTAACAGATTTTTTTTTTTTTTTACACCAGATCAGAACAAAGATAATATGTGAAATTTCTCTTTCCACTTAATCAAAAAATAAAGGAAATTAGCTCTGGTTTAACCTATCTCCATATATTTTAACAAAACTTCTTAACTCCTTAGCTTTCACAAGATTAATGTCTTAAATCCGTAAAACAGTGTATTCTAAGAGTTTGTGAACTCTTGCAAAAATGAAAAGCAATTCCTACTTTTTAAATGATTTCTGCAGAGGGATACCGCAAGTCAGGAACAATGGATGCAGTTTTTAGTTGCATTTTTTCAGGTAATTCCATCCCTAGCTGACTGTTAAGCTCCTGTGCCTCACATCACTCTTCCATTCCCTATGCCACCGTCCCCAGATACTGCTTCTTTTTCCCCTCTGTTCGTTATGGGAGTTTCCTCATCTTTAACCAACACTCCGAAAATGCACTACTAGAAACCATAGGCTAAAACTAGGTCAGGGTCTCCAAGATCTCTTGAGAAAAAGGAAAGACAAAACACAAATAATCCAATAACGTAGTTCAAATCGGACAGAGGAGAGAATAAAAAGAGGAAAAAAAAATCAGTTAAAAACTGGATTTCTATATCCTAAGGGATATCCTGTATCCTCAAGGATTGTGGGTATGGACAATAATAGATATTGTAGACAGACAGACAGAGAGACACAGGAAGCAGAAAAAGGAGGGGCTGGTATCTATACAATAAGTCCACTTTGGCTTAGGAAGAAACTTCGGTCCTACAGAAAGGAAAAAAACCTTCCACTAGACAACAACAGAGAGATGAACTTAACTGTTAAAAAAAAAAATCTCAGCTGTAACCATCTGTTAGCCTTGCTAATAGATTGATCATTTTGGAAATCTGAAAAATCAGATTATATTCATTAGGTTAAATGGATAAAAGTAAAGTTTGTGAAAAACAAAGTATACGTTGCACAATAGCACAACAAAGCATAGGTCAGAGAGATACTCTGCTGATCTCACAAACACAATAACTGCAAACTGAACTTGAGGAGAAAGGCAGTATGTATCCACCTCATCCACCCTTGACATAGCAGAGAAAGATAAATAAATAAGTAAATCCACGGGCTAGAATCCAATCTCTTCTGGGAAAGTGGAAAAAAAAAAGAAAAAAGACAAGAAAGGGACAGAATGATGCACACATTTATGCCTAAATGTACCTTTATTGCTCTGTTTTGCAGAGGTCTTTCTGTATTTCGTAAATGGAAACTGTCCTGCCTGGAAGAGGCTTGCAAACTGTATGCATCTTTCACAAGCCAGGCCTTTAAAGGGGAACTTTTCTGGGCATCCACAATACTACAATTTACAGGAGGAAACAAGACTTCTCCCTGTGTCTAGAATTGTCCTTAGATTCCAGGAGGGAGGATCCTGTCTTCCTTGAGGGTTTCAAGATCATATGTCATGCTGGAAGCAAATAAGAAGTTTCCTTTTCTGGCTATCTCCTGCCCTTCTCAGGACTTCTCCTGGATCACTGACCTGCCAGAGTCTCGAAGGGACTTCCACTCTGGCAGCACAGCTATGGTGTAGCATGGCCAAAACCATGCTGCTCCAGCTTAACACTCCAACCGATTAAACTAAATCTGAGCGCATTTTGAGCGGTCGGAAGATAGTAAAGTAGGCTTGGCTACTACTTACATTAGATATCTTAAGCACTACACTAAAAAAGCCCCTTCTAATAGATTTCATCCAGGAGAAACGTGTAAACACTCACTCCCCAGTCTCTGGGGTCTCTGCTTTGGCAAACTCCACATGCAGGATGATGCTGCCTGTCCATGGAAAGGAGTGAGGAAAAAGGAGGTGGGAGCTACGCTTTACTGACAACTCTCTATTTCTGGTGAAACCGAGGCTTTCATAAAGCAAATATGTAAGAGGTCATCTGACACAGAAGATTGCCGACTCCCTTTAAGACAGATGGGATAATCGGGTTATTAACGGATAACAGGAGCAGCTGGTGGAAGTGGGAGGGGGAAAAAAGTCCGAGCATCAAATGATGATGAAATTACCTTAATCTATTTAAGTAGTA